TACAGCCTTTCAAGATGGTGGCTGCTGCTTGGAGGCTTGTGTCGTCATCTAACTTATTGATGAACATGTCTCACTCGGGCTTCGGTGGGCACACCTTCAAGCCTACTACCAAATGGCCATCTCATGCAGTGTATCGGATTTATGCATTATGGTCTATTCCAAGATAGACTCCATTACGTTATCTGTTTTTCTTTTTGCATCGTTTATCTGCTGAATTTATTGATTTACCAAGGGCATTGTATTGCAACCTTCTACCACTCTATCGTTGACACTTATCTCAGTTATTAATATATGTGTGTTTTGTAACCTCATAAAGTATCTATTTTATTACAGTTGTTGTCAAAATTATTCAACCCTCATTGAAAATCAAGTTCATTGTTAAAATCTAGAGACGTTCAGCTGTTTGCAATGAGCACAACGAATGCTTCAAGTGGTTTCCCCAAATTCAACTGAACATGCAAACTGTAAATTAATTCTCTAGTCTCCAAATTTTATGTAAACAATACTAATTCTGATTAAAATTGTATGTGTGACTGCACATCAGTAAAAGTATTTAGCATATTATTTTTCTTTTTGAAGCATACCAGCTTTGTAGCACTGAAACAGCGAGTTTAGCTGCAATTTCTTACCTCGAAAGATGTATTGGCTCCTATAGGTTTAACTGTGTAAACCCCACTGCGTGCTTTGTGATTCCTCTGCCATATGTCTGAACAATCAAGTCCTGACAAGTAAACAAAGTTATTTAAAATTTCATCTTTGAAAATATTGTATAAGATGTAACATAAAATAAACAAAAACACAAAACTTCTCTTTTTTCACGATCTCTTCAAAACAAACTTAATAACCAGTGCCATTCAACTCTGAAAACTAATGTCAGCCCTAATCTTAGTGTGAGGACACTGGGGGTTGCTGCACCTGGGCCCTACAGTTTGTTGTGTCATACCATGAAATGACACTTTTTTAGTGCGTTTTATTATATTTCTCAGATTATAGTTTCAGTGTAAATGGATTATAGTCTCAGTGTGAATGGGTGGATAATAGTCTCAGTGTGAGTGGGTGGGTGGATTATAGTCTCAGTGTGAGTGGGTGGGTGGATTATAGTCTCAATGTGAGTGGGTGGATAATAGTCTCAGTGTGAGTGGGTGGGTGGATTATAGTCTCAGTGTGAATGGGTGGATAATAGTCTCAGTGTAAGTGGGTGGGTGGATTATAGTCTCAGTGTGAGTGGGTGGGTGGATTATAGTCTCAGTGTGAGTGGGTGGATTTGTAGTCTCAGTGTAAACTGGTGAATTTTCTGTGTTAGTATGAGTGGGTGAATTTTAGTGTTAGTGTGTGTGGGTGAAATTTTAGCCTCGGTGTGAGTGGGTGGGTGGATTTGCAAAGTAAGGGGGTGATTTTTTTTCAAGAATGTGCTCATTATAAAATTTTCTGTTAACTTGACGTAAAATTTTTTACATACATATAAAATACAACTCACCTGATGGAGTCCGCTCTATATTCATTGTCTGAAAAAAATAAAATAATTTATGTTACAAATGGCTTTGGTGACTCTGGTAACCCAAACTAGGATGGTACTGATAAAATCTCAATAAAGAAACATCATGCTATATATACCGTATTTACTCGAATCTAATGCGCACCTTTATTGGCAAAATAAAGTCTCCAAAACTTGAATGAGCATTAGATTAGATGGGCATATGACGCAAATTCACAAATTCAAAATTCGCATTTGCATCACTGCGACTGGGATGCGAGACTTGGTTTCTGTGAACGCTAAAGTAAAGCTGTACCTTGCATATTTGAGGCAAATGCGAATTTCGCCCTGGTGAATTTCACACGGGCGAGTTTTGCCCTGGTCAGAGGGGCCGGTCCTTGTTTATCAACCTATATGTTGAATTGCAGTATCTTCTTGTACAAATGTGCATTACAATTGCCAAAGAAAACATTTTTCGCCTTCCAGGTTTCAAATTTTGAAAGCACATTAGATTTGAGTAAATTATAAAATGGAACTGCAGTAATTCATTGAAGACACTAGGGGGCAGTAAGATTAGTAGTAAATCATTCTACATAATATCTCACTTCACAGCACCTTACTAATAGAGCACTATTCAATTATATTCCGATGATGAAGTTCCACTGTCTCCATTATTTTAAGGTCAGCAAAATGTATGCTAGCATGTTTTTAAAATGTGTTATTTTTACTTTTTTAATCTCATAGATGGTCTAGTTCTTTTGAACTTACTATACATCGGTCAGCCACAACATTAAACCAACTGACAGGTGAAGTGAATAACATTGATTATATCATTACAATGGCACCTGCCAAGGGTGGGATATAATAGGTACCAAGTGAACAGTCAGTTCTTAAATTTCATGTGTTTTAAGCATGTAAAAATGGGCAAGACAAAAGATTAGAGTGACTGATGGCTAGACGACTAGCTCTGAGCATCCCCAAATTCACCAGTGTTGTGGGGTGTTCCCGGTATGCATTGGCTATTACCTACCAAAAGTAGTGCAAGGAAGGACAACTGGTGAACCAGTGTCAGAGTCATGGGTGCCCAAGGCTCGTTGATGCACATGGAGAGCAAAGGCTAGCCAGTCTGGTTCCGTCACACAGAAAAGCTACTGTAGCTCAAATTGATGAAAAACATAAAGGAAAACTATAGCGTTAGGAGTACACTAGAGTGACCTTGGTGGGTCGTTTGAATTCTGTAACTCCGAAGAGCCATATGGACATATTGTGAAACAAACAGAATGGTCATTGGACCATAAATTCCTGACTGACACATATTTCACACTTTGAAGACTCTATCCAAGGCTACAATGCAAATACACCTGGTTCCCAATATAAATCTTTTCACCAGAGACGGATGTAACAGCTAAAGCTGAAGGCATGATAAAATAATGTCAATGAATCATGATAAACTGTAGCCAGGCTGCTAAGGATTGCTGGAGGTTTTTACATTGCCAAAAATACTTAATAAACCCATAGAAATTCTTCCTAGTTTTACCACCATTCTCCTACACCAGTGATGGCGAACCTTTTTGAGCCCGAGTGCCCAAACCGCAATACATGCCAACTTTTTTTTCCTCAAAGTGCCAACATGGCAATTAAACCTGAATACTGAGGTTAAGTTTAGAACAAACAACTCGCACAGTTGTCCGAACTAATTAACAACTTTTGTTTTAAAAGAAGAACACAACAGCAGAGAGTTCAATGATACATATTTTAAATAATGATATAAATAGCTAAAATGAAGCTTATATTTATTAGTATCTCCAACAAATGCAATACATACACACACAGACTGCTGAATACATACACACAGTCTGCTGAATACATACATAGTCTGCTGAATACACACACACACAGTCTGCTGAATGCATACATAGACTGCTGAATACACACACACACAGACTGCTGAATACACACACACAGTCTGCCAGGTGCCACAGACTGCTGAGCCACTTTTGGGCTACTGAATACATACACGAGTCTGCAGTGCCATGATGCCATGAATACACACACACACAGTCTGCTGAATGCATACATAGACTGCTGAATACACACACACACACACAGACTGCTGAATACACACACACAGACTGCTGAATACATACACACAGACTGCTGAACAAATACACACACAGTCCACTGAATACACACACTGCTGAGTACACACAGACTGCTGAATACATACACACACATACTGCTGAATACACACACACACACTGCTGAATACATACACACACAGTCTTCTGAATACACATACAGACAGACTGCTGAGTACACACACAGACTGCTGAATACATACACACATACTCCTGAATACATACACACAGACTGCTGAATACATACACACACACAGTCCACTGAATACACACACTGCTGAATACATACACAGTCTGCTGAATACACACACGCAGACTGCTGAATACACGGACACACAGACTGCTGAATACACACACAGACTGCTGAATACACACATACTACATTGAGGGGTGCAGTGTATGTGTTTGTGTGTGTGGGGTGCTGTGTGTCTGAGGGTTGCTCTCTGTCTGAGGGGTGCTGTGTGTGTGAGGGGTGCTGTGTGTGTGTGGGGTGCTGTGTGTCTGAGGGTTGCTCTCTGTCTGAGGGGTGCTGTGTGTGAGGGGAGTTAGGGGTGCTGTGCTGTGTGGGGGTAGGGGTGCTGTGTGTGTTGGGGTAAGGGTGCTGTGTGTGTGTTGGGGTAGGGGTGCTGTGTGTTGAGGGGA